TCCTTTCCCTGCTCTCTGCCCCAGCCTGTGAGTCTTCAGGGGGCAGAGGAGGGGAATAGGGGCACATTGAAGGAGTCCTTAGGGGCCTAATTCCTTACATGCTCTGTTTGCTGTCCCCAGGTGCTGTCTCTCAGGTGCAGCTTCTTGAGTCTGGCCCAGGAGCGGTGAAGCCTGGAGAGACCCTCACCCTGACCTGCACTGTCTCTGGACAATCCATCACAACAAGCAACACATGGTGGCACTGGATCTGGCAGCCTCCAAGGAAAAGGATGGAGTGGATGGGGGAGATTAGCTACAGTGGCACCACCAAATACAACCCATCCCTGCAGAGCCGGCTCACCATCTCCAGGGACACCGCCAAGAATCAGTTCTCCCTCCAACTTCCATCACTGACAGCTGCAGACACGGCCACCTATTACTGTGCCAGAACTATACACAGTGCTTCAGAGCTGAGCAGGGGCTGCACAGAAAGGGGAAGCAGGTCCTTATTAGTCATCAGTGACAAGTGCTGTTCTGAGACACAGAGAGCTAGACAAACACAAAATACAAGAACAAAAGCAACCCAGGCAGGGGTTCCCTGGGAGCTCAACCCCATGCGGAGACTCACATCTAGACACAGATTTGTGGGGGGGCTGAGGCCCCTGAATCCCTTGCCTGTCCTGAAGCCCAAAGCATGATAAAGCTCTGACACCCACCTGGAAACCAGCAGGACCAGCCCTGGCCTGGTGGGGTCCTGGTTCAAAGCTCCCCCTGCTTTCAAGCCCTCCGACTGGGCCTGGGCTTGAAAAGCTGGCCCCAACTCTGGCCCTGCTCTGCTGCCCTGCTCAGGTAGCCACACTTATTCCTAAGGCCTGGGGCAGGGACAGAGGGTCCTGCTGGCAGCAAGCGGGAGCCCTGGTCTGGAGAACTCGGACCTGCAGGACACGAGAGGGGAAGGAGTGTTGCATGGACCATGGGAGAAAGAAGCCTGGCCCCTGTAGTGTCCTATCATGTACAGATGTCTTTCTGACTGTCTGTCCTCTGCACTCTTATCTGTCCCCATCACTGTCAATGAACTCAGCAACAGCAGTGTGAGGGAGATGGGCAGGGCAAAAGTGATAGGGCTAAGAGACAGGCTCCTGGGGCCAAGAGTCAGCTCCCTCTGTCCCTGGAGGAACCCACATGACAGAGTGGAGCTCTGGGGCCAGAGCAGGGCTCAGCACAGAGCTGTCCAGAATGGGGGCACGGTGTTTGCTTTGTAGCAGTGAGTTGGCAGCTGGGATCTGGCAGAGGCATGGGGAAGAGGAGAAGGAAACCAGACACACGTGAGTTGCCACACACATGTGAACCCTAAATCTTACCAGCAGCGGTGGAGGCGGGGGCAGCAGCAGCTGATCCCCTGAAGGTAAGTGGGGTAGAGGAACCGGCGCAGCTGAGGAGGATCCACAGGGGGAGCCCCGAAGATCCTTTTTGACTGAGCTGGCAGAGAGCCACGCTCCTGAGCTGCGCATGTGAACAGATCGCGCAAACAGGTGTACTCTGTAAGGGCACACTGGTGGGCAAGCAAGAGGGAAAGCAGGAGGGCCAGGAGGAAGTCTGCAGCAAAGTGGGGAAGGAGGCACCACAAACTACAGTAATGGTAAGGACGTGGGGTGCTGCTAGGGACCCTGCGTGGAGGGCGCTGCCTACCAGGGGCTCCTCTGAGGCAGCCACCCAGATGGAGCCCACAGGGGGGATGGTGACATCCTGCCCCCCTGCTTGTGGGGATGCCGGGGGG